GTGCCCCTGAGTACTGGGCACAGCCAGCTGAACTATGAACGGCAGGGCTGCCTGCTGACACTCTGTGGAACCTCAGAGCCAGGAGCAACGTCTGACTTTCAAACCCAAGCCCTCGTTTACATGTAACGAGCTGAGAGACCCAAGCAGCCACAGGGTGCTCCAAGACAAGGCACCCAGTTAGTGGTGATTTAGGAACATCCTCCCAAGTTTCCGGACCCCAGCTTTCCACCAGGTGCTCGTTTATTTATTTTTGGAAACATATAAAGAACTTAGTATCTGTGTACTACTTTTCTTCAGAAGGTTTTATAACTTCAGGCATATTCACTCATTCGTCTCCCAGATCAATATGTATGACTTCCCAGTACCTCTGGACACTCTGGAGAGCAAGACAAGTGGTGAGAAGGCACCCTGATTCTGTGGCATCGTTGCCTTTTGAAATGGAGATCGACTGGTGATCAAATGTGGAGCTAAAATTATCAGGCCACGGCGGGGCTCAGGTCTCTGCCATTTGGACTGGAGGGAGGGACGTGTGTCTTAAAATAGCTTGGCCAAGTGGATTAGGAAAGTGATCAATCAACTATTAATAAGCCAAGGTTCAGGTCACACACACACTCACACATCCAGCAAAGAAAAAGTTTTCTTTGCTTCGGTATCTTTCCCCCAAAATCTTCTCATTGGTTTGCAGGTATCAAGAAAGACTACATACTGACATTTGCTCCCAGAGGCAGCAAATTCAACGCCTCACACTACTTTATATTTTCTGAACTTGTGAGAAGCTTCTAGAGAGATGGGAGAGTCAAATTAGCTGGAAGGATAATGCCACTGAATGGTATTTAATAATGGCCTGATAAGGTCTCTTTCCCTAACAGGAAGATAAGCAATGAGTTAAAGCCAGGGCACTTGCTTAGTATCCAAGGCAAAAGGGTTGGGGGAGAAATTCAATTTCCCTTCCCCAGCTAAACAAAAACGCTAGGTTTTATGCTCCTTCGACCTAGATATACTCAAAGAGATCATACAGAACGTTCCTAGGGAAAAAGAGACCTCAGCTGAGCTGTTCGGCCAAGTCTTCAGCTTAGACAATGTCTTCACAAGGGAATATTGAAACAGACACAAAAAGAGGTTTATGGGATAGAAACAGTGATCGGCCTTAAATAGGCCTAGCCTTGAAAGGCAGGAGAAAGCTGTGGTCACTGTTTCAACCTGCCATTACTTGCTTGTAATAACATAGCACCCACTCTTCACAGCATCGCTCTGAATTTCCATAAGGAAATATCACTTTTCAGAGAAGAAAAACCAAACACATTTTCCTGTACAGTCAGTGGTGGGTGATGGAAGGCGGACAGGAGAAAGTAAGGTCGGGAGGGTCATGGAGCTTTGCACTGTTTCACCCCATGCAGCAACATTCTCCATTTTGTAGATCAGAGGTATGGAGTGACAGGACTTCAAATGCTTGTGCTGAGCCTGTAAATACCTCCACCATGAAGACAGCTTTCAACTCCAGCTTACAAATTGTGCTAAATAATGAATGATGTAAATTAGACTGCTTTCTTTATTAACAAGTCCAGTGTGGCTTATGTAACCACACTCAAAATGTAAATGCAGGAAAAGCACAGTCCAAAGTTCCACAATCCCCTGTGGAGAAGCTGAGAAGTAGATATCAGAGGAATAAAGACTGATGCCTTTCCCTGAAGCCGAGTGAATGCCAGGATTTTTTAAAGCACGATTAATTGCGATGGCAAAGCTTAGGAAGGTGAGAGACCCAAAATCAATGGCACATTACAGCTGCTTACCCAGGCAAACCATAAACTGCACAGAGATGCTCTGACAAGAGAAGCTGCAAATTGTTTGCTAAAAAAAATATTACACTTGTTTACAAATACTGCCCCAAATAAGGGAATACCCCTTATGAAATTCAGAAATAGATCCCTGCTGGCTTCCACAGAACGTATACAATATAAAAATCCATGCCCTGCTTATAGCAAGGGGAATATAGTTAACACTACTGACATGTACACCGAAAAAGTTAGGGCAGCACATCTATATTGTTTTAACCACAGTAACAAAAACTCCCGAACTTATTTTAACCACGCCTTTTACCACCTAGATGAGACAGAATTTGCCCTTTGCGTTGCACTTTGGCACTTGATACAACTGAGACCTAAACGGCCAGTTATCTAAGCCCAACAGCAAGATCACTCTCAGATTCCACTTCTATGGCCACTGACATAGGTTTTCAACTTAATTTAGTGCTGCTGTGGTTTAACCAATTCCACATAACCAGAGTGACCACTTACTAGGGTACTGAGCAGGCACAGCAGCTGTCCAAGGATCTAAAACAATACTTTGATGGGCAGATTTTTAATAAAACAAGTTGTAACAGTGACTGACAGCAGTATGTCAGCTTAACTTGAAATATGCATAAAACATAAAAATGTCCAACTTTTAAATTAATCTTTGCATATAGTTTTAAAGTGTTGTGCCACTGGCTTTCTTTGAATCCTAGGGTGTGCAGGTTTTATATTAAGATATTAGATTAGACACTAGAAGATACATTGTGCTTAATTTGTTGCTTTTGCAAGTTGTAATGACAGATTTCTTACATTATTCCTGTTTCCAAAGAAGAAAAACAAGCAACTTTGGCTATACATCAGTAAAATAAAACATTACTCTTTAGGGTTGCCCCTGGATCAAAGAACCAACTTTAAAAAAGGTGTAATTTGGTTCCATTGTAGCTGATATCCACTAGCCGAGAATCTCAAAGCTGTTAAAGCAAATACTACTATGTAAGAAAAAAGAGCACACACCCTGTCTTACAAGGATGAGTGAAACAAGCTTGTCTACGTGGTGTCATTGTACGATCACAAAGGCAGAATTCAAAATAATTTTATGACGTGCTCTCCAAGCAAGTATTATGAACACCAGGTGCCTGGGCTTGAGGGCAGCTGAGAAACAGGTAGACAGAGGCACCTTTCCCAGATTTCACATCCCCTGGCCTGACAAATATCACTAGCTAATGCCCCAGAGCTCTCCCAGCTCCAACCAAATTTGGATTTCCAATCAGAAATAGAAAAAAAGATAAGTAGCCACTGGGAACGCCGTGGCAGAATGGATGACTGACAAATGCTTTGGTAAATATTTTAGAAATCCGTTTAAAAAATACTGATGATAGGAATTTGCCATCAGATACTAAAGAAACAATTGTGAGAACAGATATAAGAAAGCTCAGTTCAAATCTGTTGATTTACTATACACATCAAATAGCTAAGACTTTGGCGATTTAAACAATGTTTTTTAATTTGAAGAGTTTTATTTCTTCCTTGGCTGACGGCCTTAAAATATTAAGTGAAAATCATCAGCCATATCTCACTTCTTTCTCATCGTATATCTATCATCTAGTACAGACCTTAAAAACATTCAAGAAGGGAAAATCCCCCTATTTAACTATACAAATACCCTCCCCACAGACTCCAAACAGTTCGAAAGGCCTGGAATCCTATGGCCTCCTCCATTTGACTGCCGACTGACACCATCTCATGAAAAAAACACAGATTCTGACAAAAAGGCCACTGGCTCCTTGAACCAGCCTGCTGAGCTCTGACCTGCCCGGCCCAAGGCCAGCACAGCTGGGGCTCTACCCAGCCTTCCTCTCCCACCCACCCTGCTCTCCTGGCCAAAACACTGGGACGCTGGCATCCTGCACAGAGCCCCACAGGCGGCTGCTCTGCGAATCTCAGCTACGCCAGGCCAGCCTGCTCCCCTCAGCTTTGTTGTCATTGCTTTCTCTCAAGCCTCACGACAGAACAGGCAGCGGAGACCAGGAAGGTCCCTTACTTACATTAAAAAACAGGTTATCTCCATCAACTACGCTGGCAGAAAAACCGTTGTGCATTCTGTCGGGGGAGTAAAAGCATGCGCACTTGGCAACCGGAAGGCCACAGCCCAAGCCCTACTTTCACGGCTTCCTATCTCAGCATCAAACCCTGCAAACAAAATCAGGGGAAACTTTGCCTTGCAATTCTCTCCACAGGTGAATACAACCACACATTCATGAAATGCATGAAGCGACAAAGTCCTTAAGACAGAAAAATGCAGTGCCTTCTGCAGAAGTGACCTAGGAATGCTAGGAAAAAGACCCCGAGTTCCTGCTTGGTAATGTATTTGTCACCAGGCCTTCAGAACAGAGCACAGATACACAGCCCTGCTTCTCCATCAAGCTAGGACAAGCGCTATCACCTCCGGGGGCACAGAGGTCCAGGGCTGGAGCCAGCATTCACCAGAGCCCATATACTGCTTCAGGGCCCACCCAGTCCTGAGGTGGTATTCAACAGACAGCTAAGATTCATCATCCAAATGGGCTCAAAATCCTATCTCTGGGAAGTCAAGTCCAAATTTAATCAGACCAGGCTTTGAGGCTGCCAAAGATCACATTTTCTCTTTTGAGTGAGTGCATTTCAACACTCAGAACTTCTCCTTTTACTGAGAGATCATTTTCAGGGCTCCCTTCTAAGCAAAATCTGATAGATGAAATGAGAAGGGAAACTGGTTAACTCCGAGCCTCAGAGAAGACTGCCAAGGGAGACTTCCCTTCAACAGATTTCTGAAAGTTAATTATTTTAATCTCCTTTCTAGTAAATGTTACTGGAACTTCTGTTAACATACATACAGCATTTTATAAAATGAAAATGTCCAAAACCAAGTAATTGCATGTGAAAAACCTAAAGTACACTCAGCAGATCTTCAAAATATAAAATGCCTCCTACAAGGAAAATACATACACACGCATGTCTATTACTGGCATACACATACATGTAAAACTGCCCAGCTTCTCCCTACACTAGCAGCCTCAGCCCCTGAAACAGGTTACTGACAGACTCCCCATGCCTGCGTCTCTGCTCTGACCTCTCCACGCGCTTGGGACGGCATTCACACCCAGGATGAACGCCTGGTCCCTCTGCACCCTAGGGTCCAGACGAGAAAGGAGGAAGAGAACAGGAACTCACATTTCCGTGATGTTCTCAGGGTCTGCACTGTTAGGCTCCAACCTCGGAAATGCCACGATGCCAGGAGAAGGGTCGCTGCACCAAATCCGAGAGGCACTGCATTTGCAGGACTGAGGACAGGCGAGAGTGGACCTCCAGAAGCCCACCACCAGCCAGCAGAAGCCCCAAAGCCGCGCCATGGCGGGTCCATGACACCTAGTCCAGCTCGACATCCCTAGTCGCCAGTGCCAGCTAGGGTGCGTGTCCCCGCGCCTCACCCGCCGGCTTCCCCTGCCGGGGAGGCCTCCCTGCACTTTCTGCCCTCTGGACGCTTCTGTCCGTCACTGCGCGCGCAGAGTCCAGGCTGTCCAAGGCTGGTGTCCCGGGCTGAGTGTATCTGGGCGGACGGCAAGATTCACAGTGGCTGGGGCATCGCGGGGTGCTTCGCAGGGGGCGCTAAAGCCGCTCGGAGCTCCGCCGTGGCCGCAGACGCATGGTTAGCACGCTGGGCACCAGCCCCTGGTGCTGGGGACGCTCTAGGGCGCAGACTCCTGGCTAGACGCGCAGGGGATCCGGCACGCACCTCGGGGCTGAGGACAAACAGACACGCATAAGACCAAGTGCAGGACCCCATGTACCACACACCGGAACACACTCCCTCCGAGCTCACCCCCCGCCCCCGGCCACCACCTGACCCCAGCGGGAGACTGGATGGACGAGCGCCCGGCTGTGGGCCGGGAACCAACTGGCCCCACAGATAGCACTGATGCCGCTGGGGCCCCCCCGTGTGCCCTCCGTCCCTTCAAGCCCGAGGCCGAGGGAGGTAAGGCAGGGACAGGGCCCCCAGGAAAGGTGCCATGGCACAGGCCAGGCAAAGGGCTCTTTA